CTGGTTAGGGGCTGCTTGTGCTGGGCTGTGACCGGAGCCTGGCCCTGGGGCTGCTGGGGGGGGATGTGGGGGGCACCAAGGCTTGGGGTCACCATGCCAGGGACCCACAGGTCCTGCTGTTGGGGTCTGGGGGACCCCAGGGCTTCTCGTCATGGGCACAGGGCACCTCCAGACCCCGCTGTCATGACATGGGAACCCCCTGGATCTCCTTGCTGTGGCACGAGGCACCTGCAGGCCCTGCTGTCGTGACATGGGGAGCCCCAGAGCTCCTCGCCATGGCACGGAGCACCTGCAGGCCCTGCTGTCGTGACATGGGAAGCCCCAGAGCTCCTTGCCATGGCATGGGGCACCTCTAGACCCTGCTGTCGTGACATGGAGATCCTCCAGGGCTCTTCATTGTGTCACGGGGCACCTCCAGACCCCTCATCCTGACGCCAGGATGTCTCCAGACCTCACTGCCGTGCCATGAGGTGCCTCCAGACCCCACTGCCGTGATGGGGCACCCTCCACCTGCCGTCATGGGGATCCCCAGTCTCACCCTCCCCCCGTGTGGCCGTGACCCACAGACGGGGCGATCCCCCCCCATGCAAACATCTGCCCTGTCCCCTGCTGTCCTGCCGGGCTCAGCAGGTTTCGTATCTTTGGCATCTCTCTCTGCTGAGCATGAGTGGCTGGGCGGAAGGGGAAGCCATCACCGCCCGCGCACGGCCGGGGAGGAAGGGGGCCTTTGTTCGCCCTTCCTGGCCACTTGCATGGCAGGGGAGCAGCGGCCGCCCCGGTGGGCTCCCCGGGGACATGGGGACATGGGGGTCAGTGAGCCACAGCCCACGGCTCAGCTTGCCACCCTCTTCCCGCCGCTGGGCTCAAAAGCCAACGTCTGCAAAAGCATTTTGCTCCATTGCTAAAACCTAACGTGTGTTGGGTGCAGGGTGCTGGGTGCTGGGTGCCCGTCCCCTCCCACCCGTGACGCCCATCCCCCCCTGCCAGGTTCTCAGTGAAGACCCTGCTGGAGAAATACACGGCAGAGCCCATCGATGACTCCTCCGAGGAGTTCGTTAACTTTGCCGCCATCCTCGAGCAGATCCTCAGCCACCGCTTTAAAGGTAACGGTGGCCCGCGGGGACAGGTGCCCGTGCAGCCCCATCCCTGTGCCGCATGGTGGACGGGGATGCATGCATGCACGTGCTGGCACCAGGGAGCATGTCCGGGCTCCGGCTTGGGGCTTTCCAGGCTGACGGGGTTTGCCGGCACGGCAGCCCCTGACCACAGCCCCTCGGTCCCCGCAGGCCCCGTCAGCTGGTTCAGCTCGGATGGGCAGCGCGGGTTTTGGGACTACATCCGCCTGGCCTGCAGCAAGGTCCCCAACAACTGCGTCAGCAGCATCGAGAACATGGAGAACATCAGCACCTCCAGGGCCAAGGTCAGGAAGGTGCCAGCTCCAGCCCTGTCCCTGTCTCTATCCCTGTCCCCATCCCTGTCCCCATCCCCATTCCTATTCCTACCCCTGTTTCCATTCACACCCTGTCCCTGGCACATGGACCCATCCCTATCCCCATCCCATCCCCATCTCCATCCTCATCCTATCTCCATCCCATCCCATCCCATCCCCGTCCCCATCCTCATCCTCATCCCCATCCTCATCCTCATCCCCATTGCATCCCTATCCCCATCCCATCCCCATAGTCATCCCCATCCCCATCTCCATCCCCATCCTATGCTATCGCATCCCGTCCCATCCCATCCCATTACCCATCCCTGTTCCCGTCCCCTCTCTGCCCCCATCCCCTCCGCCCTGCCCTCCTGCAGCCCCATCTCACCCCATAGGACCCCACGGGGTCGCTGGGGCAAAACGGGAGCCGTGGGTCCCCGCGGGGGGATAACGGGGCTGAAAGCAGCTCCCGGGTGGGGACCACCCGCCTGGCGGCGGCCAGAGCCCCGCGGA